TATCCATGAATGCCTCTTTAAAAAGAAAGAACAAAGGGAAAATACATAATATTATGCTCCAAGTAAAATCTTAAAAGCTTCTCTCTCATATGTTCAGTCATGTATAATAGTGAAAAATTCTCCTTAATATACAATGTTGAACTGAAGCTTTTTCCTTTCCAATAAAGGATAAAATTAAAGATACATGAAACTGTTATAAACCTTATTGAGTCTTCTCTTCAGAACTGATGCAATTGTTACAACAGAAAACAGTCTCCATGTTTTGCTTGTAGAGAAAGGTCAGTAAAACCTGACTCCTTTTTCTCAGCCATAAATGAGGTACTAGGAGAAAAGTAGTGGTTTTTAATGCACTGTCCTAAAAATGGAAAAGAAAATAGCGCTATCTAATTACCCTGACTGAATAAAATGGTAAGAACAAGTAACTGTATAGATGACATTAAAAGACATTTCTCCTCTGCTTCCATCAAGTTGCCTTTGGCCCAGGCTATTTTTTTTTTTTTTATTTATTATTCAATTTGGTTTTTATTCTAACATATTTTAGTTAGTTGCAGGGAAACAAAATCCTACTAATCAAAGTACCATATTAGTTTCCACTGTTTTTTTCCCAAAAATCAGTCACATTCATTTAAGCTATTCACAAACCTTATCCAGGGAGCCAGTCAGACATATATTGCCATAAGTTAATCCATTTCATCCTAGTGGTCTATTTCCAAAAGAAAACTAAAGCATTTAGCAGTAAACTTTGAAGGTCAGAAGAACTGTACTGCTTAATACTTCTACATAAAACAGTAAAACCTTGTGTTTCTGATTAAACCAACACTAAAAGTCAGAGAAATATGGTTTAAAACACTAGCATTACATTCCCATGCTTGCCAATTCTAGAAAACATGTTAATGTATCAGCAAAATAGAACAGTAGATGGCTCAAAAATTTTGATTTTAATCAAAACTGCTAACTTTAAAAAAAGGGTCTGATAAGCTAGAGACAGACATTCAAAAAGCCTGAGCCTGAATTGATTCAATCTTCACAGGTTAGCTTAATCTGCAAAGCTTGAACCAATTTGGAGGGGGATAGACATTCCCTTTTCATTCCAGAAATCCTGGCACATGCCTGCAGTGGCTCAGGCTAGAAGCTGGGGGTGCTAGAGGAGCCCTCCCTTCCCTTCTATAGTACTGAGCTGAGGCAGGGCATGGCCAGGCCCAGGAAGGATGCTCTGATTAGGGAGGGGTGTAACCCCTACTCTGCCTGCAGTCCCAGGCTTTTCCCTGCTGACTGCTCAAGGGGTGGGAGTGTTGTCAGACCCTGCATCTGTTGATATGGAGCTTTTCAATCTCCATCTCCCTGCTTCTTTGGACTGTCTGCCAACCAGGTCATTTCTAACACCTTTCTCTTTCCCCTCTTGAAGACTGACAAATTACATCTAGCAGGTTGTTTGTCAGAACAAAATTTATCAGTCCATCGAGCCCTACAAAAGAAAACATCTCTCACATTAGTTTCAAGCTCTTCTTATCTGCAGGGTGCACTTGAATTTGTGAGCTGCTAGCTGTCTGCCTTTATTCCAGTGAAACTGGAGACCCACACAGACATCTCTGAACAGTAGCTAGCATGGGGGGGGACATGGCTAGATGCCAGGTCCCTGCTGTGAGCGAGGGGCAGGAGGGGGGATTCCTGCTTGAGCAGCCAGAGGGGAGGGAGGTGGGGTGGAGGGGGAAGCCTGGCAGTCGCTGCAGTCCCTCAGTCAGCCAGAGCAGTGATAGTGCTCTGGGTGGGAAGGAGACAGATGGGGCCAGCCTTGCTGGACTGGAGCCAGAGTCCAGCCCAGAGAACATGCCAGGATGCTGGGGGACTCTAGTTTAACTTAAACCAGGAAGGAGTCTGGGACAGACATTGCATAAACTAGGTTGACCCGAATCAGTTAAGTTTGATACTACATTCAACCAGGTTTATCTCAAACCGGTTTCAGCCATTTTCAAACTGGTTTATGTGCCCTGAATGTCTGTTCTGTTACAGGGTTAAACCAGTTTCTGACCACTTAAAGTGGTTTATGTGTAATGTATGTCCCTAGCCATAATGGTCAGAGCAAATGATTGAGAATTAGATTATTAGGAGTCTATTCCCTGTACAGCTTTGGACTTCCTATGTCACCTGGACTCAGATCAGCTTTATGATTTTGGAAGCAATGAATTACATGATTCATGGCCCACATGATTGTTTACAAATGAAAACAAGGCTTGCTCTACAATTCATAGTTTTCTGGTGCAGGTGGTGAAAAATGCCATCCAACAGGAGCTCTATAAGGCTATGACAAAACAGGCCAAGTGAGCTGAGTTCTAGCCTGCAGCATTTGTTGGGAACTTTCCCTGGGGGTACTCAGACTTTGCTGGGGAGTACTCAGACTTTGAGCAGACTTTGCTGTAAATAATTCTTGTACACGGTTTCATAAGCAAGACACTTATATGCCCTTTACATCCCAGGGAGGCCTGGAGACTATTTCCTGTTTGGCTCTCCATCACTTTGTTTCATTGTATTGTGCTGTCCTGAAGTTAATACTAGAGTTTTGTGACAGTTTTGTTGGAAGTGTGGCTGGCTGGGCCTGAGGAGAAAGAGTGAGGCTCAGAGAGCAGGAGGGAGAGAAGGTCCCATGGAAGACATGGAGAAAAGGAATAGTCCCAGGGGTGACAGATGAGTCTGAGTGAGGGCATAGGAAACTGGAATGGCATGATAAAGACTGTTTAGGAGCAAAGTCTGCTGTGCTATTTGGGAACATCAGCTTCTAATAACCCTCCTCTTTAAAAGATGACGACATACTCCCACCATCCTGCAAGCTGACCAAAAAGGAGCTCTCTGAAGTGGGGGTCCTACAGATCACTGGGGAAGCCAGGGGCTCAGAAGAGTCAGGGTCTCAGAGACAGAGGCTTGTCCCCTTATGAAGCTATGCCAGGGTTGGCCTCAGAGAGTCCTCTCAGGACGGGAAGGCTGAATAAGGCTGCTTCTTGGGGTGTCCTGAGGAAGAGCTTTCCCCTTTCCCCAAAAAAGGATGTTGATCCTGCACGACAAATGGCAGACCGCTACTTTTCACCAGTAGAGTGACACCACCTTCCTGGGCTAAAGAAGCTTTCCTCTGTCTCCCTGCAGCTAGCAGAAGGCACATGCAGATATGACCACATGTTTTAGCAATTACCACAGTCCCTTCAGCAGCTGTGACTTCACAGGGCTACACTGCAAAATAGGTCAACCAAAAAAAGTGTAATCATCCCCTAACTGAATTTTTTCAGAATTTTTATTCTGCGAACATTTTCAATATTTAAACTTTATGTCCCCATATGGACCCACAAAAGTGCTCAATACCAAGATGGGCAATCAAACTCATAGTATGAAAATGCATACTCTAAAGTAGATTATGGGATCGCCTGTGAGATAATTTGAATGTACCTTGAGTAAGTTAGACTTACCCAAAATTATGGACAGACTCGGACCCAAATGAATATTTGTGGATCTGGCCCTTAATGCAACACTTGATTTAAGCATGTATTTAATGCTAGCACATGATTAGTCCCATTCAGGATAATGGAAACACTAACATGCTTAAAATTAAGCTTAATTTTTGCTTAAACATTTTGCATGAAAGGATCTTTGGATGCAATACCAAATTATTTTAAAAGAAAAAAAAGAGTCAGTTATCTATACACATAAGAAAGACTAGGGCATCTAAGTCCAGGAAGTAATTTTGGGTTGTAGAGATCAACCTCACACTGACAAATAAGTCCAGAAGAGAGGCAGAGGCACCCCTCTACTGTTTTTTTTCGTAATGATAGCCTTAGATGTACCTATACTTACCAAGAGTTCCACTCCTAGATGTCCAACTCCCTCCATTTATATAGGGAACATAGGGCCTAACTCATTATAATTACTTCTATTCCTGAGCCAGGCACATAAAAATTAGCTGTAGAACATTGAAGATCACCGCATCTAAATGCCTTTGTGGAACTGGGCCGTCTTAACTGCTTTTTGTTCTCACTGGCTTATAGTATGCTAAGTCTTCTTGAAGACAGTTTCAACACATTAAGAACATTTCTTTTGTAACTCTTACTGTAAATCTATGGAATTTCAGGCAGCTAATGGCATTTATATCATAAATGGGAAAGCTTCAAGGTTTAATCAGATCATTACCACTTAACAAGAAGCTCTTACAGTAGATCAAGTTTGACATTAATAAAGGTTTGAAAGTTGTTAATAAAGTTGCTCCAAGCAAAACTTCCTTCATGACACATTTAACCTTTTGCTTAAGCTAAATGCCTCCCCCAGTCTTTCCATGACTGCAAGATTCTCTGCAAAGCACCAGAATAATACTTTGGTCTATTGACTTCTGCAGTTTTGGGTGATTTCATCACATCTAACCCTGTAACAGCCTTCTAGGGCAGTAGTAAGAATTCATGTTTACTGCATTTAATGGAAACTAGCTCCTTTGCCTTCATTTCACTCCCCATATTGAGTTTAAAGAAAGTTGTTGCAAATTCAATTAAAGCTAACAAGTTAGTACTGAACATTTCCTATTTCTAGACTTTTCATGTTAATGAAATGTTTTGGCTTGTCCAAGTGCACAGTGGCATTTACTGAAGGATTCTACGTATCGCTCAGTTGCTGTCTAGGTAATAAAAGTTGTTAAAAATGGTTATTCTGCAATGCAAGTCTCCCTAAAATGTCTAAGTATCCAGTTTGTTATATATTTTGTAGTGATATCTTTTTAATCTTTTCCAGGCCAAGAAACCCTCACTGATACCATCTAAAATCTCTCTCAATGTTCCTGTATTTGGCTACAGATATAACTGGAAATTATATACAATCCACAATCCCATCCATCTCAGTATAAAAAGCCAGGAGGTAAAGTGTATGATAGATAAATTCCTGTTATGTTTGATGATAGCATGAAACATTTGATAGCTAATGATTCACAAAATGATGTCAATACTGACATAACCTAAAAAACGATATGTACTCACTCTTGATAGGTCTGCCTTTGTCTGCACGTTTTAGAGAGACTTGTCTGGAATTTTTCATTGACTAGGAATCCCTTGTGCTCTACAGCTGAGCCCTAAGCCCTGAGTAATGGACTTAAATTTCAACGAGGGAGATCTAAGTTGAGTATTAACAAGAGCTTTTGAACTATGAGGTGAATAAGTGCTAGAACAGATTACCTAGAGAGGTTGTGGAATCTCTGTCATTGGAAGTTTTCAAATACAAGTGAGACAAATATTTATCTGGGATATTTATAGCGGGTATTACCATGCATTGAACAGGGGATGGGACTGGATGGTCTCTTGAGGTCTCTTCCAACAATTCTATGATTCAACTAAATATCTCAAGAGATACTGTCAAGAGTAATTTGTCCATTTTCAAACATAGATAAGATTTAAAAAACTATCATTAAAGTCAATTACATAATTATATAGAGAAGCCACTATACAAAAGAAGATAGTATTCATTATTACAAATGGACTGTGACCTGCTTACATGATAGAACTGAATCACCATGACCACAAGACACATTGCTTCTCATTGGGCACATCTACATGAGATGCTATGATGCAGTAGCTCATTGCTACAGCATAGTAGCATTGCTGAGCACTAGCCAGGTGGTGACAATACTGCACAGTGGCTCATTGCTATTGCACAGTAGCATCAGGAAAAAAAATGTGCGACAATGGTACTGTGCAGTAATGCCTGGTACTGCGCAGTCATATAGTACTTGCTTATACAAGTACTAAATGACTGCACAGTAACAACTTCACAGTCTGCTGCACATGCAGATGTGGTCATTGTGTCACAATTTTACACCTGTCCCTTCTTACTCTAGAGGTGGAGTAAGTTATTTCCTCCCTTTTCATGGAGCACCTTATTTGCACTGTTGCCCCCAGCTAACTATTCTGTTCAGCAAGTAGTGGGTATAGCCAGCTCCTCCCCATAGCCCTCTGTCCATTCCCCAAGCAGTTGCTTACACTGGAGCACCTGTTCACCTTCCTGTAACTGGAGATAGAAAATGAAGTATCAACTCAGGACAGCAAAAACATACCTCACCTCAGACACCTGTTCCAGTTATCATTAACTTCACTAGGAGTACTTGTGTGCAATAAATTAACTATGTTCAGGATCAAAGTATATGTTTATTAAACTACATCCAATATCACATCCTAAAAGTTACACTGAAAGAATGTTAAATTTACATCAAGAATTAAAAAGTTAGGAAATGCCAGAGTGAAGGTTGACTGTGAAAACTTAAATTTCCCCTCATTTGTAAACATGCAGTATTTTTAAATTCAGTATCTCACACTATTTTTTTCAGGGACCCCATTAATGAATGGTTAGCCAATATTTATTTTTATATTTCTCATTCATATTTGGCCCCAGACCTTATCTACAAAGTGCAATTTAAACCCTGCACTGAATATAGTTATTGATTTCTTCCTGTCATAGAACAATAGAAAAGTATGGCTGGAAGGGACTTCCAGAGGTCATCTAGTCCAATCCTCTGGGTAATCAGGATTATCCCTATCCAAACCATTCCAAGCAAATCCTTGTCTAACCTGTTACTAAAACTACACAGTCATCCCTAATGCAACCACAAAGCATAGCACCCTAATCCTCTAACCTGCCATAGGTAAATCAGGGGAACACCGGTAGCCAATATCCTGCTGTTGCAAGGGTTGTTAAAATATGCTCATGAGATTGAAGGAAGGTGAGCCACATCCATGGCTACAGAGAAAAACAAACCCCCCACAGTCCGAGGGTAAAATTTTCCTTACCTGGTGATTGGTCTGACCCTGACTGCAGGGGCAAGACCCTCTAGCCAGGAGCTTCTAGGTTTTAATTCTAGTAGCACTACTGGCATACCCCAGTTACAATCCCTAGTCTTGGCTGCAGCCAACACCCCAACCTCCTGAGGGAAATGGAAAAACTTTGCCACCTGTAGCACTAGAAAGGGGGGAAAATATCCTTCCTGGCCCCATGTGGCAATGAGCAAAGTGTTCACCTTCATGGCAGCCCTTCAGATATTTCACGACTGCTATCATGTCCCTTCTTAAACACCTTTTCTACACGCTGAACATGCCTATTTTCTTCAACCTCTCTTTTTATGGCTTGCCTTCCAAGACCTTTATCATTTTTGTCACTCAACTCTAGACTATCTCTAAATCCTCCATGTTCTTTTAAAAATGTGATACCTAAAACTGTACAAAATACTCTAGACAAGGCCTAACAGTGAACAGAGGAGCAGCAAACAGAGGAAATTTGCCTAGGAGCTTGCTACAGGAGGGAGCCAGGAAGCAGGAGACTGGGTGTGTGTGGGTTCATAGGTATGTATGTTTGGTGATCCAGAGAGCATAAGCAGAATAAATGGAGATGGCATGCTATCAAGGAAAATGAAGATTACTTGGATTAGAGAGTTATGAGAGACTGATACTGGAAAATCCAAAGGGAAAAGTGGCATTCACAGTAGTATTATAGATGCCTACATGGGCAAGCAGGAAAGGGTATTGGTCTGAGGAATGGATGACATCTGGCAGTCTATGACAACCTGGATATGGGCTCCAGGCAGACAGCACACCTCCCAGGACTCCAAATCTAAATGATGAATTGGTGCTTCTGTACATCACAGAAGGGAGTCACCAAACCACCATCGCTGTCCTCTCTCTTTTTGATAAAGTAGTCGTAGAGCCCCAATCCCTGGGACCCTGCACTTCCAGCTCTCTGGACTGCTGAGTCCTTTGTGTCTTGGCTGCTGATGTCCTCTCCTCTGCCACTTCCTCAGCTGTTCCACCTCAGAGTGGTTGCTGACTTCAATCTGTTCCTCTTCAATTCTGGGGGCCCTCCTTCTCCCAGTAGTCACATGCTGCCACTTCTCCTCTTTTCCCTCTTTTCTCCTTTGGCCTCTCTAGTGCCAGGCTCTCAAAACTCTGGTCAAAGTAATGTTCATTTTCCTTGACAGCTCACAGTGTGGACATCTGTGCCTCCAATCTGTCAATCGTTTCCTCCAACACAGGCACCAGCTTACATTTGGTGCAGATGAAATTGTCTCAACTGTCTAGAAGAAACACAAACATGGCACATCCCACACAAGTAACAACTGCTGATCCAGTCTCCATTTTATGTTTTCTATGCCCCCTTAATGACACCTAGACTGGAGAAAACAAAGCAAAGAAGCAACCCACCTGGGCACATACACACCCACACATATACATATTCCTCCCTGGCCCCTTTTCCCTCCTGTGGCTAACTCCCAGGAAAACTCACTCTCAGCTTGTTTCTCCTCTCTTCATATCTAGTCATGGACAGGCATTTATAGCATCTGATGAAGTAGGTTGCTGTCTGTGCAGGCTCATGATTCTCTGAATCAGTTAGTCCCTAAGGTGCCACCATCTCTTGCCTTCTGCCTGGCTTCAGACTAACATGGCTACACATTTCTGTACTCACAATGTTATACTGGAACAGTTGTCACACATTAAATTCACTTTGCCTAAATCTAAATTAACGTTCAAATGTAGTCAAACCCGAGTTGCTCATTTCAGAATAGCCAAAGAGCCAGATCTCCAAAAGAGCTGCATGCTCGCCACTAACCGAAACCATTTTGGAATTGCTTTGAGGAAACAATATACCTTGTATACCATAAACATGTTGCTAAATACCAGGCCCTAGATGTTGCAAATTAGGCAAGCGAAATTAGTGGACCTACTTGATATAATGGTCTGTGTTTCAGTGGCCTACCAATAAAATGGAAATCATAATATGCCCTCACCTCAGATTATGAAGAAAAAAATTATCTGTCCATTTGTTACACACTGATACTGTAGTGAGAATGCCACAGAAGTTACTAGCATTGGTTTTTGTTTTCCCTTCACTAGAAAACAAGAAAAAATATTTTTGATAACTTCTGCTCATTTCATTGGCATTTTAAAGGAAAACTTTCTAAGGACATCAATAGAGATATACTGCCTTCATTAATGACCAATGTAATTAATTTCTTGGCAAAAATATTTCTGAAGAAATATAGTGCTGGTAATTAACTGCATGCTAAGTAAAATTCGACTTCTTATGCCAAAGGGGAAAATGTCACTCCAAGAAACAACGGCCCCTTTTCTGCTAACCACTGCCATGGTTGGTTGGTGGGGCACTCCATTATTAAGGGAAACATTTCTCTTTATTGAACATTAACCCAGATACCATCCTATCTAAAAAGTCAAGAAATGGCAAAGAAATGGCAAGAAAAGACCTTATGAAATAATTTGATCCATATGTTAATCAGAAAATAGCATAACATTCAGTATTGCTCATTATACCTTAAATTGTTTAATATTACTGAACTTGGATTTACATTATCCACCTCAATTAATTATATGAATGAATTCATTAGTTTTGGCAGCAGAAAATGAATACCAGAGAATCTTAGACTGATTATGCTACCTGTTCAAGTGTCTCATACCTGCCAACATATTTTATACACTTGCTTCATCCTGAAGTGTCTCAGGGAAACAGATGTGTGATCCAAGTCAGTTTCCCAGTTCAGCTCATCATAACAGCCTGGGCAGCTCATGTGTTGTATAAACTAAGGGTGGGCAAAAAGCGACCCGCCAAATGATTTCATCTGGCTTTTGCAGCTACTCCTTTGAAGGAGAACTGTAGCTGAGCTGCAGATGCCCTGGCTTTCAACGCCTCTCACAATCCTCCCTTCCCCTACCAGCCGACTGCCACAGCAGCAGCCACTGCCCTCCCAGCCAGCCCACCCTGTCCCACCCAGGCCCCTGTGTACTCTCCAAGGAAGGGAGCACAGAGATCCTCTCCAGACTTCTGCCCAGGGAGACTGTCAGTGCACCACTCTGACCCTGTGGCCTTTCGTAGACCAGACAGCCCAGCCACTGGTGAGTCAAAGCTCAGGTGAGGTTTACCCTGCTGGCAAAAGACAGGGTGCAGGGGGAAGAGGGCCAGGACCCATGGGTTATCCATGCCCTGCCCAGCTTGTGCCTAGTAGGGGTGCAGGTGTTGCTAACATGGTGCCACATTGTGTTCCCACATGGCACTTCAGGCTGTGCCACATGGG